AACTCATTTTGGATTTGGCAAAATGGTAAAACCTTTAGTTTCGCTAAATTTTTACTAAGTATTTGATATAGTTTCGCATTTTTATAAGCTTTGATATAGTTTTACCTTTTTTCAAATTTCGCCAAGTTTTACTTTTACCATTTAGACGTCTGTCTAAACTCTTAATTTCGTCTAGCAACCTTAATCACGAATATAAAACTTCTCTTGTCTCCTTCATCATTTTTTCTTTCTTTCTGTCTTTCATTCTCTCTCTCTCTCTTTTTTATCCTTCGATTTTTTAAATCACTTATTTTTCGATCGCCATTTCTAAAACGTTTTTTTTTCTTTTTTAATATTTCATTTTTTTATTCCACCTATTTTTTCGATTACCATTTTTAATTCATTTTTTTTTTTCAGATTTTTATTTTACGTCAATTTCTCAATCGCCATTTATTTCATTTTTTTTCATTTTTTTTATCTATCATTATTTTTTTCGATTGCTGTTTATTTCATTTTTTTATTTTTTTTATCTATCGTTATTTTTTATTTTTATTTCTCAATCATTTTTTTCATTTTTTTATTTCTCGATCCTGTCTATTCCATTCTCCTCTTCTCTTTTCTTTTTTTTTATTTCTCAATCTCGTTTATTTCGTTCTTTTTTTTTATTTTTCGATCCTATTTATTTCATTTTTTCTTTTCTTTTTTTTATTTCTCAATCATTTTTTATTTTTTTTTATTTCTCGATCCCGTTTATTCCGTTCTCTTCTTTTCTTTTTTTATTTCTTAATCTCTCTTTTCTTTTTTTTTATTTCTCAATCCCGTTTATTTCATTTTTTTCTTTTCTTTTTTTATTTCTCAATCTCGTTTATTTCATTTTTTTCTTTTTCCTTCTCTATTTCTCGATTCCATTTATTTTGTTTTCTCCTCCTCTCTTTATATTTCTCGATCTCATTTATTTCATTTTTTATTTTTTTATTTCTTGATCCCGTCTATTTTGTCTTTTTTTTATTTCTATTATTATGGCTTTGGTTACTCCCGCTGTAGCTCCATTCAAATGGACAGTTGACATTGCAAGAGAATTAATTCGACTTCGACGTGATAATCATGATGATTTTGAGTTCGTTACAAACAATTGTCATAAAAGGATATAGAGAACCATATCCGATCAATTGTTTGTTAATAGAGGGTTCGCCGCTTCTCCCTCTCAATGTCAAAGAAAATGGTACTCATTAAAATATGGGTACAAAAATCTCAAGAGGTTGGATGCTGGGGAGAATCCTCACGACCAACCAATAACAAACCTAACTTTGCATAATCAGATATTTCATGCAGAGTTGGGTAACGAATTTTGACTTTGAATCGGTAATTATTTATTGAATAATAGTAATAAGAAATATATTTTTTACTTTTAAAACTTCAATTTTTTAATTTATTTATTATTTTTATTATTTTTAGACGTAAATCATCATCGGTATAGAAGACAGAATATAGATCATCGCTGGTACCAGTACTGACATAGATCTCATTCTCACTAGGATCATAGATCTTATTCTCATGATCATTCTCAGGATCATAGATCCCATTTTCGCTGTCATCATTTACAAGATCATAGATCACGTTCTCACTGTTATTCAAGAGATCATAGATCCCATTTTCGAAGATACAGAAGGAAGTCATATTCTTCATGAAGGAGAAGTTTTTCGCTGAGAAGGCATTAATTTTATTTTTTAATTTTTTATTTTAATTTTTAATTTTTTATTTTTTATTTTTTAATTTTATTTTTTAATTTTAATTTTTAATTTAATTTTTTTATTTTTTATTTATTTTAATTTTTATTTTTAATATTAATTTAATTTTTAATTTTTATTTAATTTTTATTTTTATTTTAATTTTTTATTTTTATTATTATTTTATTTTTTAATTTTAATTTTTTTTTTATATATATAATTTTTTTTTATTTTATAATAAATTTTTTTTTAAAAAAAAAATTGTAATAGCGTTGCAATGTCCAAATAGTTACACAAATTAATTTTTTTTTTTAATTTATCATATAATTATAATTAAAAAATTCTAATCTAATTAAGTATCAATCATCTTAATTATGTAATTTGATAGTACAAACAGATTTGTCATTTTTTTTGATCATTTTCATTTTAGTATATTTTTTCATTAAATTTGTGAACGTTGACAATGAAATCATATATTAAAAATACCTAATACTGTATGAAGAAGTATATCAGACTGTAGCATTGTATTATCTGAATTCTGTCAATTTCAAAAATTACCAAACCCTAAATACGTATTACGTTTTAATGATGGAAAGTCTTATTGGTTTGACTGTATAATTAAAGAACACTTCATCTTCTCTTCAGAATATTTTTTTATTAATATGTTATTGCTATTGACATATCACATTCAGAATTTTCTATTTCATCTATTTCATCTTCAATTTGATCTGGTAAATCATAATTCTATTTCTAATTTCTAAAAGATTACTTATTATTTTATCTACATAATTTTTTGTTAAAAATTCTTTTATAATATCTCCATTTAAAACTCTTAATAGAATATTATATTTAACGATTTCAAAAGAACGATAAAAAGAATTTTTGTAACCATCAATTCCAAAAACTATTATATCATTCCTTATTACTTGAATTCCTATAAAAAGAATTTGATGAAGATCATCGATTATTGATTTCCCTTCATCATTGCTTAAATTTTTACCTTTTATTAATTCTTCTTTTCTTACATCAAATCTATTCTTACATTCATAATTTATTTTTTTCCAATCATAATTTTTCTTATTAGATAGAGGAAATAATCGTGAAATTTCATCAATAACAATCTCTATACCATCAGATTCGTTTATAATGACTAAATAATCTGGAATATCTCCTAAATGAAAAGATTGCAATTCGCCTTAGTGATTTTTGATGAATTTGATGATTTATTCCTAAACAATTAAAATTAATTATTATATATTATTATTATATAATATTTTTATAATAAATTAATATTTTAAAATAATATACCAATTAAGTTTAAAGGTCCAATCATGATATTTGAATATTGGATCAAGAAATCTTGAAACTGCTTGAGCTACGTAACTATTTTCACTATAATCAGTTTCATCTAATAATGGTCTTAAGCACCAACAATTTCTTCTATAAATTAAATAAAATATATTAATTTTTATAATTAAAATAATATAATTTTTACAAAATTACTCACAATCCTTCTAATAAATCAAATATTGATTTAAGCATCTAAAGTTTTTAAGATCTTTTACATTTTTGGGAAATGTAATTGAATGACTTATATTTACATCAAAATGATCATCAAATGAATGATACATTTGAATAAATTCATTTATCATATTATTTGCTTCATTTGAAAAGTTTGGTGTTTCCAAATCAACTTTTCGTAGATCTCAAAATGAAAATCTACTCCTTAAAAAACATCTAGAATAATGGAGTATTATATTTAATTTTCGAAAGATCAAGATGAGATATAAATGATATAATTTCATTTAATATCTCTTTTGTTTCTTTAAAACAATCTTTAATTGTATTATTCTAATAAAAATAAAATATATTAGTATTTTTAAAAAAATGATTATACATAAAATTTATAATTTTTCTTACATAATTCTTAATGATATTATTCATATTTGATCGAAAAATATTACCATTTTCTTTTTGTTCCAATAAATTATTCTAACTTAAAAAAATTTAATTAAACCAAGAATTATATAATCTTATTAAAATATTTTGATTATTTACCTGTTTTTTTTATAATTGTAAGCTTTTTGATAAATTGCCTTACATTGATCCTAAATAAATAAAAGATTATATAATAAAAAAGATATGCGTTACTAAATATTATAATAATAAATATAAATATAAATTTTTTTTAAAAAATCAGAATTACTAAAGTATTTTATGAGTAATATGTTGACGGATAATAATGAGATATACAAAGGCATTGCCTATATCAAACCTAGTATTTATGAATAGCAAAATAGCCAAATATCTAATGATATAACTCATATACATATATATAATATTTCTATTAAAATAATTATAAAACATATATATAAGAAATGATTTAGACCTATAATATCATTATACAATTGAAATATTGGAAAACATCATTTTATTTAATAAAGACAAAATCAATAAATATATTTACTTACTAAACTCATATCTTCAAATGTTTTAAGTATTTTATTTAATTTTTTTTTAGCTTCTTTTTGACACAAACTTATAAATGCTGTAAATTCTGTTTTATATTATTTAGTAGCAATTGTTACAGTGTCACTAACAAAAGATTCCAATGTTGCAAAATATACAGATGATATCCATGACTTGAAAAAAAGAATTTTGCTTTTTTTATTAAAACAGTTATTATAAAAAAAATTTTCTGAAGACATT